GTATTTGGTGAAAAAAAAAAAAAAAAATAAAAAAAAAAAAAAAAAAAAAAAAAAAAAAAGAGCCTCTACTGTCACATTCTTTAGGCTTTTCTGAACCGACTAACTAAAGTAATTATTTAGAGATAGAAGAGAGTGCTTCTTTTGGCACTCATTAGGATCCATTTCCCGTCTTCTGTCTCTGAACTCACCAGCGGCTCGGCCATCACCATCTCGATCTTCTTCTCGGCGAGCACGGCGAACTCGGCAAACAGGCTCTTGATGACAAACTCCCCGGGCTTGAGCTCGGGGTCGATGGTGATGCTGGACATGGCGGCGATGCTGTGCTTCTCCCACGTGAGGGGAGTCACCGAGCAGGGGGCACGGCGTCTAATCGCACTGCTGCTGACTGGTGTAGAAGCTGCAAGGGGAGCCAGAGGAGGTCAAAGGTTAAGGGATCTAGAACAACACTCATGTGAGAGGTATAGAAAATAGGACACATTAAAAAAAAAATTATTTAACTTTGAGCTGTTCTGACTGGAGATCTGTAGGTTGAATATCTACATTTCTGATGTTTTCTTAATTCCACTCAGTATTGAATGCATCTAAAGATTGTTTTGATCTGGAAAGGCATCAACAATCATTATCAAAATCATTATTGTTCAGAAAACAAGGTAGACTGCAAGGCATTTCTAGAAGAGACAAAATAAAACAGAATAAAGGAGACATTATTGTATCAGGAATAGCGGGGAAAAAAGTCAAAGAAAAGAGATTTTCTGAACAGCAAACAACCTAAATATCTGGAAAAACAACCACAATAGTAATTCCTGTTAAATCCTTGTGATAACTTATAGTCAAAATATATGGTTATAACTCAAATAACTAAAAACAACAACAAAACATTAAAGTTATTTCTAAAATTAGAGGTAAAATTTTCAAAAACCATCTTATTCAGATGTTATATTTCATAACATTCTTCTACTTGTTGGGGAAATTAGGACCTAAAGCTTCCAGAAGATTAGTCAATTTGCCACAAATAAGGGCGAACTTACTGGATACACACTGGATATATTTACTGTACTTGTGACTAGTGACATTTAAATAAATTACAGCTCCCACCACAAAACAAGGAAGCAAAAAAAATGTTCAAAAGCTACTGACTAAAACACAAATGGATCTGCACAAACCATAAGCATCAACTGCACTGGAAAACAGACAAAATCATCACCTTGACACTTTGTTGAGTTTCTGAGTCAGAGAGATAAAGTAATCGTTATCAAATGTGAAAAACACTTTAAAATGCCTTGTAATGGGGAAGCAACAAATATTGTTTGGCTAACAGTTTTATTTTAGCTTGAGAAACTGTTTCTGAGCTTCAGTCAGAAGTGACATAATTACTGAAAAGAGATGTTACTTCCTGAGCCTTTATTAGCATTACTTCATTACTTCTGCTTTAACAGGTCCGCCTTCTTCCTCCCACCCCCTTTAGCGTTTTCTTTAGTATTGACATACGTCAATGATTTCAATGTGGTTCAAGTGGTGACTTGATTGATTTACTTACTTTACTAAGCTAAGGCGTAAGGACAAGAGGACGTTGACCCTAGATGTCCTGAAGGCAGAAAGGAAATGCTCCTGGGGCAGCACTTTGATTAGCTTCCTTAAGCAAATCTATGTGGGATCACAACATTTGCATGTGGTTCACATTATTTGCTCTTCCTATTCAAATATCAGATGCAAATCCTAGGAGTTTTCGTTTGGGCACCTAGGGCTGTCTCAGAAACCTTTACCGACGGGGCTCTGCTCTTTCTACGAGAAATATTTTTTTTCAAGTCTTATCCATAAAGATAATATATGATCAACCACAGGTGGGTCCTCAATGGCTCTACATCTGCACGATTCTGAGATTTTGCCTGCTTAGTAAATCCTAAATTAAAAAGATTGTGGCACCAATCCCCAACTTGGTGACAGGCAAAGGAGATTATGTTAGTTTTTAAATCTAGCATCACGGAGCCAAAAAACATCAACAATTTGAGGAAGACCAAGAGCTAAGCACTGTTGTCATACACAACTCCAAATAATATTACTCCTTGTTTGAGTATTTACAGTTTAAAGTCAATGTAGTTGAATTGAATAGGTTTAATCAATGTTGCTTTGGAGAGTTTTACATACCGAAATAATCAATTAATCGCAATTTAAAATGAACTCGGTCATTTCAATTACGGTGATTAATATTTTTTGAAGGGCAAAAATATTAATCACCAGTTGTTTCATAGCTTCAGCTGCAAGTGGTTTTTATTTGTTTAATTTATTGTTTTTGGTTGGCATGTTTTATGTTGGATATTTACAATATCTCACAGTTCTAGTGTAAAGAGTTTTTTGCTGAATTAAACTTTATTGGGCTTTTAGAGAGCAAACTTGCATTATTATGCCATCATCAGCTCTACAACACAAGAGCAAAAGGTTATTGGTGTAATTTATGGTGGTAATTTATTATTTTATTGTCACTCATAATGCCTCCATTTCATTTTTTTTCTCTTATAAGCTTGAACCATGACTAAACACATCAACAGCTCCAGGTAGAGGGGTCAGACCGCAACATTTCCTTCTATTCAGCTGGCACATTGTGGTGTTTCTGAGAATTTATGCTTGAATACGGTGAAACTTCCACTTTGGTTCTCAATGGTCCGACTCCTGCCAAGTGGACAGAAAATAGTAAAGTGACCCTTTGCCTCTTTCCCTCCCAGGAAAGGCCTTTTTCTGTTTCTTCCTGGTTGCCACAGAAACACTTCTGTACTCTGAACTGTCCAAACAACACCGCAGAAGAGAAGTGCAGGGAAATGTTTTAATCTCCAAAAAAGAAGAAATCCTGCATACAATATCAGGATTTTCATGACTAAAACTAGCAGATGCTAATACTTGGCTATTTACAAGTAGGTAACCGATTCTGAAAGTGAATCTACTTAAAAACTCCAAAAGAGAGCTTTCACACAGGTTTCCTACAAATTTCCCATTTCAAAATTTTACGTTTCCACACTAAACCTTCTAGATTTTTATGTTAGTTTCTAATCACATTAGCCACAAAAACATTCACCAAGTTTTTTTTTTTTTTTTTTTTTTTCCTTTACTCCCATCAAATCATAAGATAGCACATTTTGGAAGCTGCCTTTCAATTTTGCAGTGTGGTAAAGGGCTGTTTCACTGCTTCTGGCATCTGGACAAACTTCAGATCGGTAAAATGTCCTAATACTGGAGGAGTGCTGAAAAACAGATCCCACATTTGGCATTTAAAACCAAGCACATGTAAAGAAAAGAAAGAAAACTCTGGTTTAGAACACAAACGTAACAAGAATCTAAAGCTCAAAAAAGCAATAAAAGTTTGTTGTTGTTTCTTTTGCTTTCGTTAGCAACTCAAAACCCAAAACGATCGACAAGTTGGACAATAACTACATTTTCAATCTGGCAAACAAAGACGACCTTCATCTAGACATAAATGAATGTAAAAACAGATTTGAAAGAGGATCAAATCAAATTCCAGACTGCACAGGAACAATGTTCCCACCACTTAAACACAAAGTAGCTGTGCTGACTGTTTGCTCAGCGTACAGAGCCAAATATATTGCAGACAGCAGTGGTGGCGACGGAGGATTAACGTAATATGAAAACTAAATAAATAAGCCAAAAATTGTACCTGGCCTAAGAAGCTAATGAGGAAATTATGGCATCTTGTGATCAGCAAGTCTACATGTAGAAACAAGTAGAGAAGCCATACCTTCAACTGCTCTGATCTACCACTGATATGCTGAACAATGTGCTTAGTGAGTTTACATCAAGTGTTATCAAAGATGTTATGAGAGAGCACAAACTGTGCAGCGTGTGGCTGGCTGTGATCATGTTGCAGCATGTAGTTTTACACAGAAACATACAATTTTGTAACAGCAATAAGAGCAAAACTCCCAACATTGTTTCATCAGACAGACTCCTTGCACTTTGGGCTTTACTTCACCGAGGTCTGCATACGTTGGTTGAAAAGGCAAGACAACCGCAGAGTCATCACAGGATCATATGTTTTATTAGTTATTGCATGCTGCGTAACATTGTGATAAAAGTGCATTTTTTAAGACCTTATAGTTGGTGTTCAGGTATTAATCTTCCAATAACACATAATAACCAAGTGATATTTTCAAATTTCCTGTCAACATTAACTATTTTTTAACTCAAAAACACGACGTGCCGCTGGATGAAAGACTGTGGAGTGCCCCAACCAGCGGGCTTAGCAGGTTTTCTGGGGGAAACTTTGCATGTCTTATGTTGTTCATCTATTTTTTGTTCTCTGGATGGGCTCTACTGAAACAACAATGTGAACAATGAAAATAAAGGCTGATTCTGAAGACCACAGATGCTCACATTTTCAGCTTCATCGGAAATGCAATTCTTTTCCAATCAGTGAATGCACCATATCTAAACACTGGTAACGGTACTCTTCAGTGTGGACGCTGTTACCAAGAGAGGACGACTGAGCGCCATCTTCAGTATCAGTAAGGTGCATAAAATGAAGTCATAAGACACTTAATTCCTCTGTGCTGATGAAAGGATTTTTGTTCTTATTTTTTTTTTTTTTTTTTACTTTCTGACAGTTGTTAAGATTAAGATGCGTAATCATGGCATCAAAGTATTGTTTTTACAACTATGGGAGCAACTGACTGGCATCTCAAAAGTTCAAACAACACCTGAACTTCAACCCCAAGTAGCAGAGGAGATGAACAGAAGGTTTCATGGATGCAGAGCGGGATTAAAGAACAGCAGGAGGAGAAAGATCAAACAATCTCTTCCATCATTCATAATAAGCAAGGATCATATCCCAGACTCCAACATCTCTTTGCCCGGCTTTAAAGATTTACAGCAAAGCATAGACTTAAAAAGGAGCAGCAAAGGCAAATGAGGTGGATTAGCAATGCCTGCCGTCAGCTGACGGTGTCATGTTACTGTGGAATATTGGAATATTGTCTTGCTATAGTGTCATGACCGTCATGTTTACTGTTAATCACTTTGCAAAACTTTGGTCTAAAGGACATTTTAGAATGTAAATACTCATGCACATATACGTTACTGAACATCTGAATTGCATACACTTCTTTTTCTTCTTCTGTCCCTGCCCTCCTCCAAGCTGACATCTTAGTTTATACTATCTTTCTAAGTTGTTTAAAAAAAAAAAAAAAAAACAATAATTGCAAGGTTAACAAAAATAAAAGTGTGTACCTATTTTGAGAACAGTCTTTGGTTACATGTAAATATCTGTATCATGAGACTGTCATGCAGCAAAAGCTTTCAAGTTTCTTCAGATTCACTGCCAGACTGACCCACAGTATCACCACCCAAAACGACTCTGAAGAAACTTGAATGATACGAGTTACAAATTGCATTGAACTGAAAATTAACATACAGCTCAAAGCTTAATAAGCAACACTAAAGATCAGTGCGACAAGATAACCATCTGATATTTACCAAATGTCTCAGCAATATTCTTGAAATATTTCCCAACTTAAATGTTCTGATTGAAATATAACAAGCAATAACAGCAGGAGAGCAAATGAAAAGTACAAGGTGTTGTGGCTGGGATGGCAGCAAGTGTTGGGTTGTGTTGTCATTATGGTGTCTAGCAGCACAGAGAGCCTTTCAAGCATTTCCCTCTTTGTTTACTGTGCTCACTAACAGCCCAATGATGTCATATAGCCTGCTCTTGATATCCAATCACTGGGGTGTTCCATACCCCCCTCCATCCTCTCTCTTCTCTCCCACCACAGGCTAACTGAATTGTTGACTGCTTCACATAAGTGAAGCGACCCAACACTGTACTTTTCCAGTCAACAGCAAGAAGAGGAAAAACAAACTTTTTTTTGGGCCTGGGGCCTGTCGTCCCCCTCAACCTCATCTTTGTTTCTCCCTGGGACATGCCAGTCATTTGCTGCATGCCAAGCTAAGAATCCCCATGCTAGACTCAACCCACAGAAAACAAATAATTCAAACACAGAAACTGATGCTAAGTATCGCCAGGTTTTAGATCAAGACCAAAGCTCATTTTCCAATTTTGTTCTCTAAATGGAAAAAGTTAAAAATGGCCAATAGACTTTTTTTTTTTTTTTTTTTAAGTTGGTGCAAAGACTAGAATGTTGTGGCCAATTTCTGTTTTTGGTCAGCATTGATTTTTATTGATTCTAGTTTCTATTTATTCACACAGAAGCGACAAAACAACAAGTGTGACAGAATGGAGCCTATGTAAAACATTGCAAGTGCTGTAAGATAAGAACAAAATTATTAGAGGATTTATATTCTATTTAGTGCAATATACCAGCCTTTAGCAATAGTAACTATAAACAGCAGTATTTTTTAAGTACCGCCTGTTCAAGCTTTCTATCACTGTAAGAGATGTGGCAAAACTTAAGTTTTAGAAAGCAAAAAGATTGTAAGATGGACAAGTCAGCAAGTTAAGTTGTTTTATTGCCATAACAGAAGCCAACCAGAACCAGGTTTTTCACTAAAATCTTCTTACTGAGATGGAAATAATTAATTTTATTTATTTTCCAGAAGGTGGATAGACTGACCGTCAGTCTCTTTTTGATATGAAACCAAAGAAGAAAAAACACATACCAACACGCAAGTTATCTATTCCTTTCCCTTAAATTGCATCACTATCATAACACTCACCAGCATGTTTTCCTAATATCATGCAGCCAAAATCCCCATAAGAATATGGAGTCTTAACTGAACTCTGGCATTTCCAAACGGTTGCACAGCATGAGGAAAATATGTAGTTGTGAAATTACTGCTAAGAATGTTCATTAGGATTAACCCCTGTTTTCTGGGTCATTTCTGCTTTAGTTTCTTAGCTACTAAAGATATACAAACAACGTGGGTATAAAGGGAAGCAAGAATCCTGGTTCAACTGGTCGAATATCAATAAGCAGACACTGAATGACTGACCCTTGAGATATAATAGACTTTCAAATATTGTGTCAAAGTAGTTCTTTGTGGTTGTGATATTGAACACAATATTGTAATGACAACTGCAACTCCAGATTTCACCGTAAACCTTTCTGAATCCAGAATATTGCGTAACAGAGCAACCTTTCTGTTATCTGCTGAAAGTTTCACTCTCTTTAAGCAGTATCCTGTATAAAAATCAACATGGTTCTATAGCAATGTGGTTAAACATAATCTTACATCTTTGTGCTTAAACATTTTACACAACACCATACTACAACTGGAACAGCTAACTTTGAATATTCTTCCTGCAGTAATGGCTTTCAAGCTGAAGAATGTTGTCAGCATGTAAGGTTAGCAATTAAGTATGCTGAGCTTACTGATCAGAAAACGATCCAATTTTTTAAGATTTTAAGTTAATTTTTTTGCTAATAAAACGTAAAACGAGTGTGATTCAGAAAATAAAACATTTTGCAAACTAGTTGGGACTGCCTTACAAACATAATATTGTGTAGCTGGATCTAGTATATTATACATTTAAAATTTAACATGAGTCACAAACAGTTAAAAGAATAACTTCAGAATTTCCCGTTTTAGCCTAATCTAATCGTCCATATTGAAAAGTTTATGAAAAGATAAACCAAAGAGAGACTTAGCCTGATGATCCAATGGAGTAGTTTCATAATACCTGCATCTCCAAATAAGTACATTTTATGTACTAAGCAGATTCACAGAAAAAAGATTCACATAGGACTGCAGGCTAGATAAAAAACACACAAAAAAAATTCTCCTTATTAATACAAAGCTAACAAAGTGTAACTAAATGCTCTGGACCAAAATGCTTATTGCATTCTAATGCATGAGGTCTACCAGCCAGTCTCTGCAAGAGTTCCCTGGAAAATTAGCTCCACATATGGTTACACAACTATTACAGCAGTGACTCCACCTTGTCACAGTTGAAACAAGCCCTCCCAAACGCCTGCTCAATTCCCCTGGCAGGACAACAAGAAACAACAGCCCAAACTCACACACATACACACACTCTGTTGGAATGTAGGGCCAAGAGTGCATCCAATTTTTAGAGACAAAAGAATTACTGCCAATGTTTATATGCTGTGGCTGTGCCAATTCTGCAATTATGTAGCAACATGCACAGAGCCTGGCAAGTTATTACTGGTTCGCCCTGCACTTTCAATTCTCTAAACTAAAGGATATCTAAAAAAGTCTTACAGTAAATCCAGCTTATTTCCAGTGGCTGACATTACACCAGTCTAAACCAGCAGAGTGCACCTAAGGTACGCTGCCTCATAAATCAGAAATCTATTTGACAGTAAATGTCCGAGCTTTAAGCGCAGTTCAAAGCTAACAGAAGGAATAAAACTGTCGTCCAAGACTGTAGTGTGAAGTCAAAGTGTAGGGAGTCAAATTCACTTGTACTGTCAACATGCTAACTGTTACAAAGCAAGCCTGACATTAATTACTTTTATTATTTTTCAGAACTATTTACTACCTTTGGGGAGGGAATGCATCCTGGAAAAACGGCTTCGTGTTATCAGGGTTACAAAATCTGACAAGTTCAAGCCCCATAGCTACGGCGTGTTTGTGTGAAAGGTGAGCCTCGTTAAATGAGTCTATCAGAAATTAAACATTATTCACGCAACATAAATTTTCTTAATGGGACTTACACAGTAAATATCCTTATCAGGGTTGTTGAGTTTGGGCCTCCTCGTTCTAATCCAGGCAGAGGTCACAGAGGTTAGATGCATCTACACTTATTCAAAGAACATTAATTATACATCTATCTGGTCACCCTTTAAATCTCAAGACAGTTTAGGAGTGTTCATGCTTTATCTTTATCATTTTAAAATTTTTGGAGACAGTCCTCCTGAATTACTTTTTTTCCCCCACTTTTTTAATGGGAGTAAACTCTGTCCCATAGGGCAAGAGCTAAACTGTGCGGAGACTATTTTAAGGATGCACATCACAGTGACAGTCAGCTGTCAGACACGTCTGAAGCCTTGTTCTCGTTAATCTGAGCTAATTTTGGCACTAAATAAAATCAATGGCAATTCAATGCGTCATTACACAAAGGTGAACTATCTACGAATCGGGTGGCCTCTAAAGGCAACTGGATTTTATTTAAAGCTATAAAGAGTAAAATGTCTACATTTGATCGGTTCCAATGGATTTTATTTAGATGAAGCAGAGTAAATGGAGCTAAACACACACACAAGAAACTTTCAAACTTTCAATTGGAACATTTTTAGAAAAAAAAAAAAAACTATGCAACATATTCATTCCACTTCATGATCGCATGAAATTCTTATCACTAAATGAAAGTCAGTGGCTGTAATGTAACAAAATGTGAAAAATCTCATTGGAATCAAAACATGAAGTTGTACTTATTGTAAGAAATCACCCAGATTGACTGTATTCTGCACCGTTTTAGTTCCCATCTTCCTGTGCAGGTATAGGTTATAACTTTTAGCTAGATGGTTTAGCTTGCCTTTGTGTTTAAGCGCCACTTTCTTTTCAGAGGCTGGCGATATGAGGAGACACAGCAGGTAGGTAGTAGGTCTCCTCCAACCAACAGCTCTTCAGGTCACGTTTTGCATGCAAAGCCCATTGCAATTCAAATAATTAATTGGGATGCTATTGCTGTACAAACAGTGATTGTTATTAACCTTCATTTCCTAGATATTTTTTGTTCTTTAGCCTTACCTAAAGTCCCCATCATCCTCCAGGAGATTTAGCATCACAGCCACTGAATAAAGACGCCTGCTGTGGACGTTAAGACATTTATACAGCCTGGAGCAACTATCGCATCCAAGCAGTTCTTTATCATCTCAATATTTCACAAACTGATAAAGATTCAATATTTAAAACACATTTATCTTCATTTTTAAACAATAAGAACTTAACCTTGAGATATTTTACATATAAAATGTGCAACCCGTTATCTTATATCAGTAGGATTAATATTTGTGATTTTTTTTTTTTTAAATGCTGATTGTGACATCACTGATATTTTAATTAAGGTTCAGAGGCCATGAAACATCATGTCATGTTGTGTTCAAGATAACAGGCCTAAAAGCTTTTTTTTTAAATCACTTTTATTGTTTGCCATAACTTTGTAGTGATTGCATGCCATTATGCGTTATTATTTACTACCTTTAATAATAAACTGCTGGTTTCATTTACATATCAGCTTTTATTCTAAGCCTGTTTTTATTTTCAAGATTTGATGTTCCCCGTTAATTTTAGTGTATTATCAGCAGAGCTACGTTCTTTAAGGCAACAAATTGCAAAAAGTTAAGTTATTTTTGTTGTGCAAAGTCTTTCACCAATTAATCATATGTTTAAAATTGACTTTTAGTCCAATTTGTGTTACATATCCCAGGGTCTAATTCAGATTATGGAAGGAGCTAGACCATAAATGTCTTTCAATGTTGCAGAAGAGGAAGTGGTTTTTGATTCCTAATGTACTATATAATGCATAGAAAGCTAATAATAGGAGGAAGCTAAAAGACAGATCAATAACAGAGAAACATTAGCTGCCCCCCAAGGAAAGGAAGAGGAGGTTTGTAGAACTGGGAGGACAACGGGGAACTGTAAATTGTTGAGTGCTGTTCAGGAAGACTAAATCGCGATTTTCAACAAGATAAGAAGTTTCAAAAAGATGTAAGACAGATACAAGATCTTCAAAGGAACAATCCCAGGTCTAATTGTATCAATCAGTACATTTTCATCAGGAGAAAGATTATCTGTGGGACAACCAGGAGCCTCAGCAATGATGATAATGGGAGGGCTTCTATTGCCGCCACCTGCAAGGACCTGAAGCAAGCCTGGCTAAACCTGGACTAAACACCATCACTCATCTAACTCCAATCACGACCTGCATGCAGGCATGTACAAAGTCGCTGAAGGCTGCTGGCTGTGTGTGGTAGATACGTCTGGATGCGCCGAGTGCGGTATGTAAACACGTATGCTCGCTTGGCAGGATACTCACAGCTGCTACTCCAGGACTTGAGGAGAGATTTGATGCTGATCTCAAAGAAGACCGAATCCTGCAGGCTCAGCATGGTGGCTCGCAAAAGTTAAGGCTCATAAGGCACGGTGCTCACAGGGTTCAGAGTGTTCTCATTTCACGCCATCCCACAAATTATTATTTTTTTTAAATCAGAGCATTTTATTCTGCTCACAAATATTCACCTGCCACACAGACTGTTAAAAATCTAGCAACTCTTTTCCCCCTCCAGTTCTTCTTACCCAACCGTTGCTTAACACCACCATCCACAGGAGGACTTCAGACGAAACAATCCTTAGAGAAACGCACAATTTAATACGCGACAAGTTTTGCCTTTTTTTTTTCCCTCCCAGCAGAACTCTACAGAACTCTATTATTTCATAAGCACAGTTAAAAAAGTCTCCCAGCCCAGCTCCTGCTGCCCAGCTGCCAGTCCACAGAGTCCCTCATCCCCATCTCAGCACGGAACAATCCAGAAACGTTTCAGGACAAAAAAAAAGTGCACGGGAACTTTTGCTCATCACACAAGAAGAAACGTAAATAGTGTTAGTATTCAGTAATATTCCATCTCCTTCTGTCTTCCTGTGTGTTGTGTGTGTGCCAGTTGTAGCCTGCTAACCCTCCCTCTTTCCCCCCTCTAAACTCTCTCTCCCTTGCTATTCGTTCATGGCCAGCCGCTCCTCCCTCGAGCAAGCTCTTGTTCTCCTATTGCTCTTTTCTGAGAGAGAGAGAGAGAGAGAGAGAGAGAGAGAGAGAGAGAGAGAGAGAGAGAGAAAGCTCAATTCAACAGCAAACGCTGGGAGGCAGGAGCGCAGTGTGGGGGCGGGTGATGTCATCAAAATGCTGCGAGTGTTTCCTGGCCGTGGATCAGCGATGCATACGCTTGTCAGAGCTACTACTGTGCTGCCTCCCCACTGGCCTATCAAAGCAGCACTTCCTGTAAGCTCCACAGCAGCACTGATGCATCATTCCTCACTGCAGTGGGAGGGAAAGCGTCAAACAGGAGGATGAGAAAGGGAGTGTGCATGCTGCACACGAATATATGTGGCTCCCTACTCAAAAAAATGTTGAAATATACAAATATCGTGCTATAAAAGTGAGATATAATGTTTGACTGTAATATAATACGGGTAAGTAGTTTCACACTTTGATTGCTGAAATATTTAAAAGGACCTGAATACATCCTGCATTCAGAAGAAAAAAATCAGTTTGCGTGAATGGAAAAAGGTTCAAAAACACACGCACGGGATTATCTGACATTACAATCTGGTGTTGCTGCCGGTTAGTTCTACCCATGCAGAGACCTAAAAACAGATCCACATGACATCCATCCAGCCATTTGTAGTCAAGGGCACGATTAAGTTTGTTAACAAAACATTCTGGGGGGCGGGAGAGAGAGAGAGAGAAAAGCAGTGGGAAAGTTACAAAAAAACAGAAATGCTCTTTGTCTTCCTGTTTCGTCGCTATTTTCTGTCTCCCCCACAGTCTCTCCCTCCGTCACATGTCCGCCGCTACACGACTTATGCAAAATGAGCCCGAGCTCATTGCTAACAAATGCAACACAAACAGATGCTTTGTCATGCCCCAGCTGGTGCAGGTCTGATGCAGCCCTCCGCTGTGAAGCGCTGCCTTGTGATACGCGGCGCAGATGCTGTGGAATTAAAGCGGCCTTCGACTCGGGACCTCTTCAGGCAATTTAATATTACTTCTCAGAGAACTTCAAATTAACAGACTGATGTCACTGGCAGCTCTGGCCAGTTGCTGCTAAGAACATTTCCCACAATGCCAAAATTGGACTTGAAAGGAACCAAATATAAAAACGTGTCATTATAGCAATTTCACACTTCCGCTATATCTGATTGTAGTGAGGTCATGTTGGTTAAACGCTCCATCGCCATATTTAGACACCAATGCCCAAGTGATAAATCCTAAGCAGGAAAGGAAACAGCCTACAGTTGTTTAACACTTTTCCTTTAATAAGATAATAAAAGTACCATAATTGGTCATGTTGGAGCTGTGGTCTCTGGGTTAGCTAAAGTACCCCTTGCATAAATCCAAGGAGAATCACTGGCTTCTGTAATCGTTCCCTCATGTGAATCTTAAACCTCTGCCTTTTCTGTGTTATGATTTTACGTGGCTGAGTAACCAGTAGACGCAAAGAAAGAGGAAGATGGTTTTAGACTGGAAAAGTTTGAAGCTCAAGGTTTGTAACCTTTATTCATATTTTTTTACATACTTGTTTGGTATGAGACAGTTAATCTGTAAAAATAACAAAATAAAAAATTGAGCTCTTCTGCCTTCTCCTAGTCCTAAATAGAAACAACCAATCAGAGCCAGGAGGCGGGTCTTAGGGTTGTCAATCACTCTCTGTGTGGTGAAGCTCATCTCCCACTGTAGCTAATAGAGCCTGTTGTGAATTCTAAGGCTAGTTAGCATGGTCATCGATGACTGCGGATGAGCTGTTTTTTCTGTAACGGTAAGTTGTTTCTCCTACTTGAAGTAGTTTCTATGATGAAACCTCACTACAGTACTAATTTCTTTTTTTTTTTCTTAAAGATGATTCCAATCAGCTCTTATGTGAGAATTTTAAAGGGAAAAAATCTTTCCTGTTCCATGAGGAATCAACATGTGCAAACTGATTAAAAGCCATATTTAAGCTACTTTTCTAAAACATTAGTCAGAAGAACTTCCAACACCGCTTCACACCTACATGGCCACTTGGCTCTTTGACAAATTTCCTTGGAACCTGAGGTGTAACATCTGACGGTTTATATCGTACATTTACATCATTACATAAACATGTTCATGACTGCATGAACATGTAAACAAAATAATTTACTGAGGCAGCCAAATCAGTAGGTTCTTGAATTGTGAAAATCTGAAAATGATGTGCACTGGCAAGATGTACTGGGGTTTCAAATTAAAATGAAAATAAGCAAAAACATGGTCAAACAAGTACAAAAAGTTCAAAGCTTTAGAGGTTCCTCATCTTGTCTATTTAAGGGAAAAGAATTCCCCAAACAATTTCAATTCATAATTGGACAATGGCTCAACCTGACCTTATCTGCTGCTGGGTAAAACTAACATCGTCTGATTTGGAAACCCACATGCTCAAATGCAACTCCTTCAAACATTATTTCAAAACCTCCAGAGATGGATTATATATACTAAAACGGATCAAGTCCTTCTGTTGTGAATTAAAATTTACACAACCAAAAGATGGCGGCATACCTAAAACAATGTATTTCACACAGACATAGTTTAGAGGAGGAACACAGATTTAGAGGACGCCAAGACAAATACTATTTAACAATAAAACCTGGACTCTTGTTATGATTATCAGCAAGCCAGCCGACATACAACAGACAGGTATTGTTTTCTGTAAACCAGCTTTGTTGTTTAAGGAATGCAGAGCTTACATCATTTCCCCGGGAACATTAAAGCTGAGAACCAGAACCTTACAGCCAGGACCACTGACGCGAGTCGAGGATTTCAAACAAACATTAGAACCGACTTCCTGGAAAGACGAGCTCACTGATCAAATAATCTCAACCAAATGCACGACTGAGGCTGATTGCAGCATCTCTAATCACAAAGTGGGAGAAGTGACTGGCAGTCGAGCTATCCTGCCTGCAGTGAGCAGAGAGGAGCTTCTCCTCCCAGGAGCCCGCATGGCGGAGGATGCATTTCCTGTCCCAGTCTTTTCTGAAGGGCAGTAGTGGGAGCAATAATCGATAAAAGCTGTAATTCAATCCCTGACCTCCTCAGTGATGCCTGGGCCACAGAGGACACAACATTAACATCCATAACAGACGCCTGAGTATGCAGCACAACTCCACAACACACAGGGGTCCTCGCTGCCACATGCTGCTCACACCAAAAACAAACGTTTCTAACCTTCATAACACTTTTTCTTGTCAGCGCTTGCAGAGAAACGTTCGATGAGGACACAAAACAGGACAAAAGTCAAAAACAGAACTTGCTTCAATTACTTATCTTCTAAGAGGGAGAGACACTTTCAGCAGATAGCAGGAAGGATAAACATACAAAAGTAATTTTTTTTTATTTCAGCCTGTCTGTCATGAAACAGTATGGAAATGTGGGCAGTCTTTTAGAAATCCCATGGTTAAGGTAAGGAGCTGCAAACACTAATGCTAAGTACAAACAGAGTTTCTGCAGGTTTCACCAGCTCAAATTTAAGACTTTTAAGAATGCGAGACCTAAATCTCCAAATTCATCCGAAAAGTACAAAACCAAAGCTTTGTTATTTCTAGTTGTTAAAGAGCAATTGAAATTGGCTAATTTTTTTATCTGCACATTAGTTCGGTGAAAGTGGCCTCGAATTAGCTGGTTAAGGAACCACATAAAACACCTTCCAGCAATTATCTTCCCCTGATACAAAGTGGAAAATCTGCCTATAGCTATATCCTAAACAGTTTTTTTCCATACAACTGACTAATAACTACTTAAGAAACTTGATGAATAAGTTTGTCCAGTCTGTCTGGATACACACCCTGTTGACATTTCACAGAGAACTCGCATTACAGAAGCGGCCTAACAGAAGCACTTTCATGTTCAGTCATATGCTCCAAACACTCCCTAAACTCCAGCAGGTAAATCTGCTACACCCATCAAAACACCTTGATCGGATTTTTTTGGGGCCCGTATAAAGCATTGGTGAAAAGGCGCTGCCATGACAGTGCTGTGTTTATGTCAACACTGGGCAGGTTGTCATCCCTGAATCTAATAAGTAAACAGGTTTCTGGCGTTTTCATTAGTTTCTCAGTTCTGGGCCCTTTTAACAAACATTTCAGTCCTCCAGCAGGAGCCCAGTCTGAGTTTATACAGAGGATGAGAGGCAGCATTACATACTGGGGTGGAGAAACTTTATTGCAAAGGAAATATTGCTGTAAATTCTGTGTTCCAACATCTAAAAGCTTGTTTATTAACCAAACCGCTAAACCCTTATGAGATGAAATGAAGGTGAGGAGTCACTGATCGACTGCTTAAAGGTAGAAACCAGCAGATGATTCAGCAGGAGAGACTGAAAGGATAACGTATCAGTCTCTCAAGGTCTTTTAATACAACAATGGATCAAAATACATCTTTAAAAAAAAAGACATGATATACACGCCAACATGAATGGGCTAATTACACTTCTAGAATCACCAAAGTTCATAATTTATAAGAAGATGCATGATTAATATTAAATTAAACAAAGCACTAAATTAATCTGGTTTTTCTTTTCCTTTACAATTTGAACTGTGAGGGGAAAAATAGGAATTTCTTTACATTTTCTGCAGGTGCTGCAGCTGAAAAGAATACAATCGTTTTAACGTTTCATTTTAATGCCAGTGGGTTCAGACTATTTTTTTTGGTGAAGGTAAAGAACTGATCTATGTCTAGGCTCCCTGCCTAAAAAACATTGTATAATAATAATAACAAGAAGAATTTTTAACAAATGCAGACATAACTGCATCCTTTACTGCTCAACTGACCATGCATAATTAAAGGGAATTCATTTTGTTTTCATGTATATAGCAAATATAACTAAAGTCCAGCAGTTAGAGCAAAGCACACGCTCGTCATGGTTATATATTATT